GGGCGGCGGAAAGTAAAGCTTTGTTGGTTAATTAACTTTAAGCCTGGGGTCGCTTCTCCCTCCTCCTCCGAAAAAAATGTGGATCTCGCTGAGACACAAATAAAACCAAATTAAACACTCCAGGAGAATAGGCACCACTGGAAACATAGTAATTACATCTCAGAGGCGATCCCGCCCTAGAAAGCCGGTGCTCAAACCCTCGGCTCCGCGCTCCCCGCCCCCCGTCCACACCGCGCCCCACCGGGGTGCACCGGCCGCGCGACGGCGCTTGACTACCAATAGAGTTTACAGAAAATCAAGACAAATGAAAAGGAAAGTGGCTGCTCAGTCTCTAGACGTGCTGCTCGCATGGGGGAAAGACAGCATTTCATTATACCAAAGGAAAATGGCAAATGGCCCAGCAGCCCGGTAGGAAAGCCCGGGCTCTGCTCTAGGCTATTTTTACTTTTGCAAGGGCAAGGCGTCGCGAGCCACTTTGCCCTCAGCTTCCTCTACGGACTGAGGTCCCAGCTAGGTTCCACTCTGAAATTCTTTTTCTCAGAGGTTCCCACGTATAAAGGAGATACTCACCGTGCCTTCTCACGTAGGTGAGCGCTTTTGGCTGTGGGTCTCCGGCTGTGCAGGGTGCACGCACTGTTCCAGCACATGCCCTGTGGACACAGCCCAAATGTGTTTATAAAGATACCCACCCCTGCGCTGAAATCCTCTATTGCAAATAAAGATCTCTGCTGATCTGTTTGTCTCTCTGCATACACACTTACTTTACATGCTCACCCTCTGCTTAGACGTCCCAAAAGAAAATACTAGGGCAAGTGAAGAGGCAGATGCCAGTCTTGCTGAAGCTGAGGGGTGGAATTCCTGGCTCACTGTATTAAAGACAGAGCCAGAGGTGTAAGTTCACAGCATTTGCAGCAAGAGGGTGCCGGCTGAGGCGCACGCTTGGGGGCTGGTGTAGCTGGCAATACCAGGCTAGGTGGAAGGATGAGAGAAACAAGCTTGCTGTGCCCCTCATTCAATACCCAGTTTGCCCTCTCTAGAA